TCGAGCAAAGTGCCCACTCGATTATAGAAATTATAGCAATCTGATTTCAACAAAATTTTCACGGGGCAACGAAGTGAGTTAAATTCCTCACAAGGCCTAAAGTATATCGGAATTATCATAAGGAGAAAGCAAAATAAAGTTTTCACAAAGCACAAATCAGAGACAAATCGGAAAGAAAAAGGATCTTTCATATATACGAAAGTATTTACAAAGATCACTTAGGGTCTTACACAAAAATCCAAAAAGAAGAAAAAAGTTCTAAGTGCCTAATATTCCCCGGGAGCTTCATCTTTATCTTCTCCACTCTCGGACCTGCTCGCACTCCCGAAATCATCATCATTAGAGAGCAAAGCTTCGGCTTCAGTTTCTAGCAATTTCGCATTCACGATATTAGCCGTGAGGTCAAAGCCACGAGCATGAATCTCCTCGAGAGTCAATCTCCAAGATTGGCGATTAGCATGATCGGCAACGCAGGATAATCGAACCTCAGCAGCATCGAAAATTCCGGCTTCAGCATCTGCTCGGTACACGGCCATGACCGCCTCTGCCTCGGCCTTCATTTTTTCCACCTCACATGTGGCTTTTGCAAGCTCAACAGTCAACTGAGCCTCGAGCTCTTCAATTTTCTTGGCTCGGGCCAAGCTCTTCTCCTTCACACTTTGGAGTTGACGTTCAACCGAAAATAGCTGAGCTCGATCCATATCATTCTCCGAGGCGAGGCGGTCCATGTTTTTCTTCCACCCTAAAGTCTCTGCCTCTTTTATCTATGCCTCCTCATGAAGCATCTCAATATTTTTGGCCTTTTAGCGAACCTGTAGGATCTAAGTGTTATTCGCCAATATCAAATTGATATGTCAAGCTCCCAAAAATTTACATTACCTACTCGATGAGATCGGTCTGATCTTTATGAGCTCTTGCCAATTCAGCTCGGAGGTCCCTGATCTCCTCTTCTTTTTGCACATAGAGGAGTTTGAGGGCATTTCTCTCTTTTGTAAGCCTTTTGAGATCGGCCTTACATCGGTTCAACTCAGCTTGAGATTTGGAAAACGCTTCCCGATGAAGCGTCACAACATATGGAGAAAGGAAGGAAATTAGACAAAAGGAAATAAAAACAAATATAAACCTAATAACCGGAGCTGAAATTTACCTGGTTCAGGAGTCTCTAAGCTTCATCGAAAATGATCAATGCATCCAGGGCAGAAACATCATCTACCCCCATGAAATAGCCACGGAATAAGTCATGTCCTTCATGGGTTGTTCCCACATCGGGGGTCTCCATATCCCGGGCCTCCCGAATTTACCCCGTAGAAAACAAAGGGAGGGGAGGCAAATCATCAATATTGATTACCCCAAGCATGACATTTGGGGCGCTCTCTCTTTCCCGAAGGGCCTTGGAACCGAACCCTTCAGGCACACCCGCCGATTATTCATCATAGCGGACAGGCACGCTCGCCGATTATTCATCATGGCGGGAGACATCTTCAGCTTCTGATGATTCGGGGACTGCGCTTGGGGCATCTTCCAAACCCTCCTCATCCTGATGCTGAATGTCTTCGATTATAGCCAGCTTAGCGGCTTTTAGGACCTCGGCGCTCTTCTTTCGAGCCACTAGTTTGAAGGTGCCATCCTTTTCTCCCTCCCCTTCATCTCATAGTTTTTGGGCTACGGTAACAGACAGAAGGGTAGAGTCATTCTTTGACTTGCGAGCCTTGCTCTTCTTAGACTTCGGAGTATCTAAAGGCGAGGCCATTCTCCTCTTCTTATCCTTAACCGATTCGGAGACTCCTCTTCCCCAAGCGGGGCCAACCTCATTTCAGCAACATCCCCGAGACCTGCATAAGAGGGAATCAAGTATAAATAAAAATAAATGTTTCGGAAAAAAGCATTAGAAGCGTATAGGATAAGCTTACCATGATTCTTGGCCTCCCATCGGCCCCTTGCTAAATCGCGCCACGAGCGCTCAGCATATGCGAAAGTCGAAGCCAACTTCTGAACCCAACTTTTGAGGTACGAAATTGCATTGGGAAACCAGGGAACTGCTACATCATAAGAAAAGACATTGGTGAGAAAAGATGTGGGTGAAGGAAGATAAAAGAAACAAAGCAACCAACATAAGATGTTGATGGGTTTGCTTACGCTTCATGTTCCATTCCTCGGGGAATGGCATTTTCTCGGCTGGGATTATATCGGAGGTCATCACTCGGACAAACCGACCCATCCATCCCCGTTCCTTTCCTCGTATGTACTCGAGAACAACACCTTTGTGGCTCGGCGATGGAGACTTATTAATTTGCCCCGATAAAGATGGGGCTACACAGTCTCATGAGGCGGTCGAGGGTAAATGGCATCCTTTCGACCTTGCTCACGAAGAATCGAAGCAAGATAACAATGCGCTAAAATGAGGGGTGTATTTGGCCAAGAGTTATTTGTTATTGGCAGTAGAAGTTGATAATAATGAGATCAACGGGACCCTGTATGAAAGGTAAGTGTAAACACTTAAAAACTCTTCCATGTAAGTAGTAATATCCTCCTCGGGGGTAGGAATCACCACCTATGTATTTTCCCAATGGCAGTCCTTTTTCACCTGCTCGAGATCGCCTTCGGTTATCGAGCATATATACCTCGACATGGACTCACATCGGCCAGGACCGAAGAGGGTTTTTTAATTTTGAAATCAAAAGTAAGGTCGCATGACCCGGGAATGCACTCTTCGATGCGTGGCTCCACAGGCATTTTATCACTGGTTGACCGCGATAAAAAGGCTTTTTCCTTTTGGGGAACGATTTTAGATGTTTTCGTCATTTCTATGTGGGTTCAGAGAAAAGAAGAAGATGAAGTTTGTTGTTTTAAGAGAGGATTGGCAAACATGATGTAAATAATTTGCAGAATTAAGGAACTTGAAGGAAGTAGGAGTGCTTTGAAGATTAGAAGAGATTTTGGAAGTAGAGTTTGGCAAAATTGTGAAGATGGTCTATTTATAATGTTTGCCATGACGGTTCAAGGCACTAGTGGCCGACCATCAACTGACACTAATTAATGATCTTGAGAACAGTGCAAACGCGATGCTTCAATCACCTTCGTCGCTTACATCACAAGGGTGACATCATAATTGATCGAGGTGCTAAATCGAAGGCTCAGTTCGTTTCTTCTCATTACATTCTAAGAAACGAGGGGACTATTTATATACGGTCAAAATCAGGCGCTATTTGATCGAAACAAAGGAGCTGTATCGGGGGTAACCTCGTAATGGATCAGACCCGAGCTCGAAGACGAGGCATCGAGTCCAAAGATCGAAGTGTCCGTCGAGACCGAGGCCAGCAACAATCGAGACTAAGTATGACCGACTTCGAGTGAAATACAATAATAGAAAGGCGAGATATTCATAATCGGTCGGAGATCAAGGCGGAAATCTCGGAGCAGATCAAACCAAGGGCGGTTATTTGTATCAACCATGGGATTTACTTCCGTAATTAGAATTGTACCACAATTAGGATTCCTCTAGTATATAAAGAGGGGTCCCCATGATTTGTAAACACCTTACATTCATACAGAAAAGCAATACAATATATCTCTATTGTTCATCAATTTATTGTTATTTGATTGTTCTTACTTTACTCTTCTTGAGGGTTCATCAGCTCGAGGACACTGTTCCGATATTGGTTTGTTTTATATTCTTGTCAATTTCAGCACTTATCTCTAAATTAATTAATTTGTATTAAGTGAAATCACGTATCCTTAAAATCACATTACAAGTTTAATTGTTACTCGATTTTTAGGGTAAACAGTAAGAATACATATAAATTAACAATAGTTAGGAGATAAATGAATATATGAAACACAGGTCTTGGAATCATTGATTTTATGTATATACTTGGTGCAAATAAATTTTTACCGTAGCACAATACCTAAATTTGAGGAGGTTGTTATAATTTAACCCACTCTAGTTATTTATTTATTTATTTATTTATTTATTTATTTATTTATTTATTTATGTATTTCTATTTTCATTTAATGGAAAAGGTAAGATATAGGTTAAGATAAACTTATGATAGCAAATTTAAGCTAAAGATTTTCCTCATCTCTCTCTCTAGCTGAAAATTAAAGGAAAAGGATGTGTTTAAATTATTGAACTAGTTTTTCAACTCAATAATACTTTTAAAACATTTTTTCACTATCGGATATTGGTGGTAAGTAAGCACAATACGACTTCAGTTTGACAACCATTTTCAACTTGATACTCCATCACTTTTCTACTCCATCACTTTTCGGGCTTAATCTTGTGTATTTTTCAAGCTAATAGAAAAGAATGTAAGCTATCATAATTTTCAAGTATTGGTAAAATGTATTTCAAACTACTTTAGTTATGTCTTTAGACCTCACAACTTGTTTGCATATTTTTGAATCACATTTAGCTCTAAATATTTTTTTTATCCATCTATTAGAAACATATTGTCTCGACTAATCCATATGTGGGCGCAAGGCTTGTTTAGGGGAAAAATCACTCCTAGTAGGAATTTCACCATACAAAAAATATATATTTTGTCGGTTATTATCTTTGAAAACGGCTATATATATATTTCTAAAAAATTATTGGGTAACACCCTATGCTTGATGCTAACGTTTTACCCTATGCTTCTCCATAACTTTTCTTTTTTTATACAATTAGGGTGATTAATATATAACACTTCCGCTTTTTAAGTTTTACTTTTTCGATAGTTACAATCTTACCGAAAAAGAGTTTCTAAATTAAGAAAAATAAAGTAGACAATTACTCCTTTGTTTAGGAATTTCAAATTAGTAAGCCAAAAACTCTTTCTGTTGTCAAACTTCCAATAACTTAGTAAAGAAAGCCGTGTTTAACTTGTACAAGAAAGAGAGAAATAGAAAGGTATAGATAAACAAACTTATGGAAAAAAGATTACCTAATACGAGGCTCTTACAAGAATTTCATAGCTTTCCTCTTGCGGAAACTAATTAAAGTCTCATCACACTTTATAAATTATCTGAAGATTGTGCATGCATTTTTGAAAGAAAATTGAATATCCAATTTAAATTTATAGGATTGGTGTTTCTGCTTAGGAACAAAGTGAAGCATAATAGTAATAACTTTATATTAATGGAGGGGTCATCAGAGAGAAATGGGAACTTGGTTTTTGCAGTTAATGGGGAGAGGATTGAGTTAACTTCTGTTGATCCTTCTACTACTTTGCTTCAGTATTTGCGCTATCATGCTTGTTTCAAGAGTCCAAAGCTTGGCTGTGGCGAAGGTAATTTTCCTTCCCTTACCTCTGTCTATTAGTAAAAGGAAAGTCTTGGAGCAACGATAAAGTTGTTTCCATGTGACCTATATGTCATGGGGTTCGAGCACGCATGAGATCAACTACTGATACTTGTATTAGGGTAGATCATTTACATCATACATATAAGTGCGGTATTTCCTCGGACCCGCGGGGATACTTCGTGCATTGGGCTCCCACATTTGTGTATTAGTAATAAAGTTCAAGTAATATACATTGTCGCACCATCAGGTAAATTATTTACAGTGACATTTTTATACTAGTATTTTGTTGTTTTCCCATATTTTCGGATAGTCCATAAAACTTGTTTAAACTATTATTTATGTACTAATAGTTTTCGGGGTTCAAAAAATGAAGGTAACGTTTTTCTACTGATACAGTGTACCGGCTTGTATATATTATACATAAGTCTTATCTAAAATTGACTTTTGAGTGATCTGATTATATATATACCGTCGATGAGTAAATTTAAATTTTAAAAAATATTTTATCCTCTCAAGTTTAAGGCTTCGTGCAGATCAATTTATCACGTGAGAGATAAATTGCTGAAGCAAATGCATTCTGTTTGTGTTTAATGGTCATGGATATTGGATTGGCAGATTTGGAGTGTATTTCTTTTGCGCTTTGGTCAATTGCTCATACAATCCAAACTGATTAAAGTGCAATTTTGTATTTTTTCTGCTTGAATTATATTACTAATTTTGGCTCTAACTTTTCCACATTTATATAGTCTTTTGTCAACTTGCTCTAATTGAGCACACATTCACTCGATTCACACATGCACAACAAACTTCAATCTGTGGTATAGAATTCCAGAAGAAACAAGAAGAGAGAGGAGAAAAGCTAATCTTCATTTTCTGTTATCTACAGTAGTGTAGATAACCGACTTAGTCTCTTTTATAGACTAAGTTGGTTATCCTTCTTTGTTGCACCTCTAAGTTCTTCTATTTACACTTTAGTCCTACTAACTAATTAACAACTAGTTTTTTATTTCCACATTCACCCTCAAGCTGGAGGGTGAAAAATATTGAACACTCCCAGCTTGGATATCAAGATTTTGTGCTGCTCAGCTCCCAGTCTTTTTGTCATCACATCTGCGAGCTGTTCTTTAGTGGAAATATATTGAGGTGTGATCAATCCATCCTTAATTTTTTCTCTCACAAAATTATGGCAGTCAATCTCTATATGCTTCGTTCTCTCATGATAAACTAGATTAGCTGCTATTTGCATAGGTGCTTTGCTGTCACAATGTAGTATTACTGGTTCCTTCACAGTTAAGCCCAACTACGTTAGTAATCCTACCCACCACACCAATTCTGAAGTTATTGATGCCATGCTTCTATATTCTGCCTCAATAGAACTCCTGCTCATAGTTGGCTGCTTCTTGGATTTCCATAAGATCAGTGAGTCTCGTAGTTTTATCACATATCTAGTTACAAACCTCCTTGTGTTTGGGTAAGCTGCCTAATTTGCATCACAATAGGCTGTAATATCTTCCAATGATCCTCTCTTCAATAATATCCACATTCCTGGTGAACCTTTAATGTACCTCACAACTCGTACTGCATCATCTAAATGTGATTGCTTTGGATGCTGCATGAATTGACTTAGAACTTGAACTGTAAACATATGTCTGGTCTAGTAATAGTGAGGTAAATGAGTTTCCCTATTAGTTTCTGATAGCTTACAATGTCTTGCAACTCTTCATCTCCTTTAGTTACTGCATGTTTATCATATTCAACAGTTGTTAACTTTAGGTTTTGTTCCAATGGTGAGCTAACTGGTTTTGCCCCACTTAGCCCAACTTCTAAAATTAGCTGAAGAGAATACTTCCTTTGATTAAGTATGACTCATGTTGCTGACCTCATGAGCTCAATTCCCAGGAAATATCTAAGTTCACCTAGATCCTTCAACTGGAAATGTTTGTGTAGGGTTTATTTTGCTTCTTCCACCAATGTATTGTTGCTGCCAATAATTAACAGATCATCTCCATACACAAGGATGATCACCAGTTCTGCATTTGTCTTCTTTGCGAATAGGGAATGATCATAGGCACTTTGAGAATATCCTGCACCTATCAGTGCATCAGGCAATTTTATGTTCCACTATTTTGATGCATGTTTGAGACCATAAAGAGACTTAAGTATTTTGCAAACCTTATACTCCCCCTGCCTATGGAATCCCTAAGGCAAGTCTATGTAAACCTCCTCATACAAATCACCTTGTAAGAAGGCATTGTTTACATCCATTTGAGATAGAACCCATCCTATAGAGACTGTTAGGTTTATCTTAGTTCTAACTGTTACCATCTGGGCAACAGGTGAAAAAGTTTCATGATAGTCTAACCCCTCCTGTTGTGTATATCCTTTTACAACAATCCAGTCTTTGAATCTATCTACTTCAGCATTGGCTTTGTATTTGATCTTGTATACCTACTTTGAGCCAATAGTTTGCATTCCTGGAGGCAAATCCATTATTTCCCAAGTCTTGTTTTCTTCAAGTGCCAAAATCTCTTGCTTCATTATTTCTATCCACATGTCATCTTGAGAAGCTTCCTGAAAAGACTTTGGTTCCATCTGAGCTGAGAATGACCCTAGATATAGGTGATCATAACTCACATAATTTGAAACTGAATAGAGGCTAGTTCCTTTTGGTTTGCATAAAGTCACATAATCTTTGTGTCATACTACTGGTTTTGTTTGTTCTTGTTGACTTTCTGCTCCCTGTAGGCTGTTGCACAACTAATCGTATTTGTTCAAGTGTGGCCTCTTCATGTTCTTGTTGTTGTGGTGTATCTTGTTCACTCTTGTTCACTGGTTCACTTGTTCCATGTTCCTCTATGTCATTTACGGTCTCATCTAGTGGCATATCTGGTGCTACAGAGAGGCTGGAATCAACTGCTTTAGTGTTGTGGATCTGATCATTTGGATTCTGAGAGGCTATCCCCAAATCGTCATCTGCTTCTGCTGCTGAAGTAGTCTAATTCCTTGCAGTTGTTGGGCAATCAGTGTCAGAAGTGAATAGATTCTCGGGTTAATTGGGAAGTGCCTTGAAAGGAAAGATATCATCCCTAAAGATCACATCCCTACTTACAAGAAATCTATTGGATTCCAGATCATATAGCCTATATCCCTTCTGTAACTCTGAATATCCAATGAATACTGATTTTATTGCCCTTGCTGCAAATTTGTCTTCTTTTGGCAGTGTGTTGGCATAACAACGACACCTAAATACTCTAAGATGATCTATTTTAGGTTGTTTGCCATAGATCTTTTCATATGGGGACTTTCCAATCAACATTGTTATGGGAAACTTATTGATTAAATAAACTGCAGTTTTGACACATTCTCCCCAAAATTTGGTAGGTATGTAGCTTTGATATTTCAATGCTCTTGCCACCTCCAATATGTGTCTATGTTTCCTTTCTATTACTCTATTTTGCTATGGAGTATGAGGGCACTAGTTTGGTGTACTACACCCAAGGATGATAGCAACTCATTGCAATTTTTATTGAAAAATTCTTTACCATTATCATTCTTAGCACTTTAATAGTAGCATTAAACTGATTCTTCACAAGAGAAAAGAAATCCTTCAACACTACTATTACTTCACATTTAGATTGAAGCAAACATATCCAAATATACCTACTATAGTCATCTACTATGGTTACAAAGTAATGATTCTTGTCATAAGTAGCTACTTTGTATTGTCACCACACATTTATGTGTACAAGTTGAAAAATGCAATCATATTGATGGTACTAGTAGGAAACTTCAGTCTGCTCTGCTTGACTAATGGACAAATCTCACAGTTTTTCTACACATCTTGATTCACTTTATTCTTTAAATCTGGCAAGCATTGTAATGAACCTGTGGATGCATGTCCCATCCTTTGGTGCCACAATGCTGCATTTATTTCTTCCTTCCTGATTGATCCAGCTACTATTTCATACTATTCACTTCTAATTATATATAACCCTTCATATTCTCTACTAATCCCTAGTACCTTGCCATTGTAAAGTCCCTGAAACACACAAAAACTAGGGTAGAAACAAGCTGAACAACATAAATCTCTAGTCAGCTTGGATACTAAAATGAGATTGAACTTAAAGTCATGCACATATAAAACATTCCTAATCTTCTGCCCTCCTAGTATTGTTGCATATCCTGTGTACTATTTATGACCTTCCTCCTATAGGTATTTGAACTCCACTACTGTTTCCTTTATTGAATCTTCTTAATTTTTCTAAAACTTCCTTGCTAAAGGTGATATGGTGTGATGCTCCTCAATCTGCTATCCAATCATATGATCGTGCATTAGATAATAGTGACTTTATGCTTGCCATGTTTGCTGAGCCTGTTGTATTGTTGGAACTTCCTTCCATAGATGACTTTGTCAACAGACTTACCAATGCTTGTACTGATCCTCAGTCATATAATTCCCTTGTGGTTGATTGTTCACTGACTCTTCCTTTTCTCCATTGACATTGTTAGCATAAGATTTGGCAGGAAGTTGACCTTTCTTCTTGCTTTTGAAGTTTGTTGGATACCCTATGATCTTGTAGCAATTTTCTTTCAAATGCCCTTTGTACCCACAGTGTTCACAGACAAGTCTTGGCTTCTTCCCTTTTAGAAATTGATTTTCTTTTCCTGCTAACATAGTCATTGGCTCCCTATTTGTGTCAACTACTCCTAATTCCCTTTGACTCTCCTCTTGCACTACAACTACATAGGCTTGGTTCACAGTAAGGACTGGCGTCTTTAGTAACACTGCACTTTTTACATGGCTATAACTCTCATTCAGCCCCATCAAGAATTATAAAAGCCTTTGCCTCACTAAATGATCTACATATGTGCGTGATTCTTCACATTCACATGAGGGAAATGATGCTAGGATGTCTAATTCATTCCATAAGTCTTTCAATTTTTAAAAGTAAGAGGTCACAAATTTTGTACCTTCCTTTAGGGTTG